AGATATGTCAAGATATGTCAAGATATGTCAAGATATGTCAAGATATGTCAAGATATATCAAGATATGTCAAGATATGTCAAGATATGTCAAGATATGTCAAGATATGTCAAGATATGTCAAGATATGTTAAGATATGTCAAGATATGTCAAGATATGTCAAGATATGTCAAGATATGTTAAGATATGTTAAGATATGTCAAGATATGTCAAGATATGTTAAGATATGTTAAGATATGTCAAGATATGTCAAGATATGTCAAGATATGTTAAGATATGTTAAGATATGTCAAGATATGTCAAGATATGTTAAGATATGTCAAGATATGTCAAGATATGTCAAGATATGTCAAGATATGTTAAGATATGTCAAGATATGTCAAGATATGTTAAGATATGTCAAGATATGTTAAGATATGTCAAGATATGTCAAGATATGTCAAGATATGTCAAGATATGTCAAGATATGTCAAGATATGTCAAGATATGTCAAGATATGTAAAGATATGTCAAGATATGTCAAGATATGTCAAGATATGTCAAGATATGTCAAGATATGTCAAGATATGTTAAGATATGTCAAGATATGTCAAGATATGTTAAGATATGTCAAGATATGTCAAGATATGTCAAGATATGTCAAGATATGTTAAGATATGTCAAGATATGTCAAGATATGTCAAGATATGTTAAGATATGTCAAGATATGTCAAGATATGTCAAGATATGTTAAAATATGTTAAGATATGTTAAGATATGTTAAGATATGTTAAGATATGTCAAGATATGTCAAGATATGTCAAGATATGTCAAGATATGTCAAGATATGTCAAGATATGTCAAGATATGTCAAGATATGTCAAGATATGTCAAGATATGTCAAGATATGTCAAGATATGTCAAGATATGTTAAGATATGTCAAGATATGTCAAGATATGTCAAGATATGTCAAGATATGTCAAGATATGTTAAGATATGTTAAGATATGTCAAGATATGTCAAGATATGTCAAGATATGTTAAGATATGTTAAGATATGTCAAGATATGTCAAGATATGTCAAGATATGTTAAGATATGTCAAGATATGTCAAGATATGTTAAGATATGTCAATATATGTCAAGATATGTCAAGATATGTCAAGATATGTTAAGATATGTTAAGATATGTCAAGATATGTTAAGATATGTTAAGATATGTCAAGATATGTCAAGATATGTTAAGATATGTTAAGATATGTCAAGATATGTCAAGATATGTCAAGATATGTTAAGATATGTTAAGATATGTCAAGATATGTCAAGATATGTTAAGATATGTCAAGATATGTCAAGATATGTCAATATATGTTAAGATATGTCAAGATATGTCAAGATATGTCAAGATATGTCAAGATATGTTAAGACATGTTAAGATATGTCAAGATATGTCAAGATATGTTAAGATATGTCAAGATATGTCAAGATATGTCAAGATGGCAAAAACCGTCCTACACTCCAGCTCTGTGTCTTCAAGCTTCTACAAAAACCATTACTAATCATTACACATCTGCATCAATTGGCCTTGGTTTATGGTCTAATCATTATTGCGAATCACCACAGCATACCAGGCATACCACAGTATCTTTTTACATCACAGCAGTCACAGCACCAGAAGACTTCAGAAGTGGCCATAGTGACCTTCGCCTGGCACGGTTGGCACGGTGTTCTTGTGTGCCTTGTACAGTTTTCTGGTTTTCGTCTCCAGGCGCAGAATCGGCAGAACCGCAGCCGTGTGCAGCGCGTGGCGCCGAAGAACGAAGCATTGCTGCGCGCCCAAAGCGAGGACGAAGCACAGCTGAGCACAGCTGAGCACTGACTGACTCAGACATTCGGTCCTTCGCGCGCATACAGTGCAGTGCATACAGTGCATTGCAGTATATTGCAGTTCTGCGTACAGTTCTGCTTCAGACACTGCAGGTGCTGAGTTGCGTGTTGCAACACACTCTTGACTGTTGCTTGACTGCTTGATCTTCGGCCAGGATCTGTGGAACGCAACTCATGCTGCATTGAGGTCTTTGGCAAAAAACGGGTTTCAGCCTTTCAGCCATGCAGAGAGTGAAGTTTAGTGAAGTTTCGACGCTTTTAACGTCCGACTTTCGGAAGTTTCGGACGTTCAGTCGACGCTTTGAGGAGTACATGAGTGGTGCCTGGGCCCACGTCGTGCCGGTGGAAGTCGGGGGGCTGCTGTGCCGCAGTCCTTTGCCAGCGCAGCTGACGTGGCTGATGCGGAAGGCGGGGAGCAAAACACATCAGAATGGTCTATAGAAACTATAGAAACTATAGAAGTCTGAAACAGAAGTCTCAAGAAGTTTAGTTCTTCAATTTTCTTCCATGTTCCATTTTCTATTAACGAACTGTCCAGCGAAGAGAATGATTAGTGAAGATAAAGAAACAGGGTATCCGGATGTCGGGTATCCTCGTGGAGCAGTTCAGGATGCTGATTTCATTTGGGCCAAGAAGCTTCGCAAGCTGTTGGAAGAAGAGCTGCCCGAGATTGATGGCCGACCACGCAAGGAGCTGTGAGACCTCGGGAGATTGGGGATTTCTCTTGACTTCTCTTGACTTCTCTTTGGAACTTCTCTAGACTCATTTTTTGAAGGTGAATCAGGCTGAATCAGGCTGAATCAGGCTGAATCAGTGAAGCCATCTTGGCAGCTATCTTTCCCTTGTGGACACTTCCATGACTTTCATGCCAGTGCAGTGCTGCACAGCCAGCTTGCTGTTCTGTGGTACCGGTGTCCGAGCAATCGGGTTCCTGCTCTCAGGTATTTCTACTTCAAGTATCAAGCATAGAAGTCATGGGAAAGCGTTTAGGTCGTTCAGGCAGCCACAAACACATGTCTGTTTGCTTGTTTGCTTGGCACTTCACATCTCGGAGAGAGGACGCTGAATTGAAAAGACAGCGTTACCATCACTGCATCACAAACATTTGGTAGCAAGCCTTGAAGAGTTCTTTATTGAATGGGAATCACACAGATTGGCAGCAATTTAAACCACTAGCACTGACAACAAGCCCCACTAGCACAAACAACTTTTGATGAGTTCCACCGTGCCGGTGTGACGCCATGCAGTGTTTCAGTGCAAAGAATCCGCACCCAGCAGCTCCATCAGCACCATCACCACCAGACCCATCTCCCAGTTTCCAGGTGGATTCCACGCGTGAGGATCTCCGTGAGCCTTGCAGCACAGCTCTGTTAACCTTCCATTTCACATGGTTTCACATGGTTTCACATCGTTTACCCGTCAACCATTTTGTCTACTTTGCATTTGACATTGACCCCCCAAAAACAGTGGGGATTACGGTGTTCTTTGTTTTTTTTTTCGAACTTACGCCAGGTTTTTCAACCCAACTCACCAAACATTTGACCCCTGCGTTGCTTTCTGAGGAGTGGCAGATTGGCCTCAAACGGAATTTCGACGCTGCTCAAGAGAGGCTGAAGAACCGGAATTTCGAAGCTGATCAAGACAGGCTGAACAAGCACACAGTTGACCCAGATTCTTGGACAGGATACCGAAAATCATTGTTTTCCCACAAAAAGAGATGTGAGATGTGTTCAAACACATTCCAAAAAAACGATAAACATTGGGTTTGCGTTTGGACCCTTAAACAATCCTGCACCCTACCCCTAGGTCGTTCCTTCGCAACCAACCACGTTGGATCCAAAGTGGCTGCAACGCTCTCGCCATCCGCTTGAAGAAAGTCCTGAACATTTCCAGCCAAAAGATATTGCCGCGTTTGAAGAGATCATTCAGGAGGGACACTGCATCGTTTTTTCTCGCGAGAAACGAATTGTGGTCATGTGCGGGATATGAGATGATATGACTGCCTAAACTGGCATAAACACTATTCAGGCAACTTGAATTCAGGAACGCTGTTGGCTTGGCGGGCTCCTTCGGACCGTCGGTTTAGTCCGGGGATGAAATCAAAGTTTCGGGGGTTAGTGTGTCCTTATTACTGCACCCAGCTAAGTTTCGGGGTGATCTGCTTTTGCCTCCTGTTTCCTCCCAATCCTTCAAGTTGGAAGTATGTCGACAAGTTAAAAGTAGTGTTTGTCAAGGACCATACGGTACTGAAATCAAACCAGAAACCCTATATAGCCGATGTCGTTTGTCCTGGCCCATTCCCAAACTCAGAATGTCACGACCGCTAGTGGTAGCTGAGTTTCTTATTGACCTGAGACCTTCGCAGTGAAGCTTCACATGTTTATCCTCTTGTTCACAGTCCAAGCCAGTGATTAAACTTACCCCTTTCAGGAGAGTAGAAAAAGAATGGATCAGGCCCTATCTGAACTACGCGATGCCAACTACACTTATGACGCTACTTTCTCTTATGCTGACATCCTCTTGGAGGTGAGCGATAGAGTGGGTAGAGGGTTGAGAACCTCCTTAAATGGAGCTTCACTTCAGTTGGCCAACCTCAGTGAAGCACAGCTTGCTGGTGCTAGTTTGCAAGGTGCATGCTTACAGGGAGCCAATTTGAGTGGCGCTGACTTGCGCATGGCTGACCTCCGAGGTGCAGATCTATCGTTGGCGAATTTAGGAGGAGCTGATCTTAGTGGTGCACTCTTGGGATCTGCCAACATGCGATGTACTGCGCTGTCCTCTGTGCGCCTCGATGGAGCTTTCGCACGCGAGGCACTCCTAGACCTCGCTTCCGTTGAAGATGCGTCGCTGAGAAATGCGGTGTTTGATGGCGCATCCCTCAAAAAAGTGAAGTTTGATTGGGTGAACATCAATGATGCGCTGATGAGAGAAGCAGAGTGTCAGGGCAGCAATTTTTCGAGGTGCCTTCTGCAAAGAGTTCAATTTCTGGGATCTGATCTGAACCTTAGAGGCCTTAGAGGCCTTAGAGGCCTTAGATTATTTGAAGATGTTGTTTTGTTGCTCGTGAGACATCCTCCGGGACTGTTTGGAGTTTGGAGTATCAGACCAGTTGCACGTTTTGTGTGGCAATCCAAGGAGCCATGCAAGCCTTGAAAGCTGTCGCTTTGCTGGGAAAGAGCTAGATGAAGTTGTTTGGGATGTGGCTGCTGCTCCTTTTGTGCATGGCCTCCAAGTCGAAAATGATGAATTTGCCGCACCGCCCCTGCGGCTTAGCAAGAATCAGGGAAGCAATTTACGGCGTTTGGTGATGATGCTCTTCTTCGATGATGATGACGACGATAACGACGATGATGACGACGATGACGATGGAGAAGAAAGCGATGAGGATGAGGAGAAAGAAGCGGAGAAAGACGGCGAGGATGAGAAAGAGGAGAAAGAGGAAGAGGATACTGCAGATACCTCAAAGGATACCTCAAAGCGGGAAGACATCGTGGACGCAACATATGTGCCACTGTTGGTCCAGGAAACAGCGGTAGAGATGGCTGAGGAGGCTGCCGGTCAAGCTGCTGACTGGGCTGCAGCGCAGCAGTGGCGTCAACTCGAGAAGGCACAGGCACAACTGACCAAAGTCATTGGGACCGTGGATGCCACAGTCAAGCCCCAGGCAAAAGCCCTCCAAAAGCTGCTCAACAAATCGAGTTTCAGGAAGCTGAGTTCATCGGCTCCGGCAACAACAACAAAGATTCTGGAGCTCATTAGCAAGACAGGAGCGGGCAAAAAAGTGTGCAAAACCTTGGAAAAGGTCGGCGTGGAGCTGAAACAAATCGAGGATAAGGGCACTGCTCCTTTGCTGCAGAAGCTCTTGGATTCTCAACTTGAGGCACGAACTGGTTACTCTTCAGGTCAACTTCTTCGAATCTTCCGTGTCACAGCCATTCAGATGGCACGGGACTCACGCGAGCTGAAGAAGCTGCAGGCATATTTGGAGAAACTGCAGGACACCGTGAATGAAAACAACTGGGATGATGTCGCAGACAACTTCTCATGTTTTTATGCATTGCAGAAACACCTGCAGGGTGAAAGGTCAAAACAAGTCTTTCGAATTATTTGGAAGAACCAGGAGCTTCGAGAATGTGCGCTTTTGATCGTTGATGAGATAATTTTTTGCCATGTTTCGTTTTTTTTGGTATTTGTTGCTTTTCCGCCCTTGTTTGAATAAGCAGTCACAGGAACTCCACACCCTGCTAAACCTTTTCTTAGACTGTTTTCCTTCGGGCAATCGCTCCGTTGTCGAACCTTTTGAGGTGCAGGTGGCCACTTTGTTTCAGAATGTGGTGCGCGCAAACCATCCTCCTTCTAACGTGGTCAAAACTGTCAAAAAGGCAGTGAAACACGTCAAGGACCATGCAGAAACGTGGGATTCTCGCCCGTTTGGTTGAAGGCGGTGTCTATTCAGAACAAAGAAGGTCCCTTTCGAACTACCGTGGACCAAAGGGATGCTTTGTGAGTGACTAGGGCCTACTTGTAGCGCACAACATATATTCAACATATAACATCGCAAGATTTGGGTTCAAGGGCCCCTTGACAAATTTGACAAGCCCTGGGTGCAGTGATTTCGAGTGTTTCTGCCCTGCATCGGATGCATCGCTCCAAGGAAAAAGCCATTGCCAAGGAGCTGGCAGCAATCGAGCTCACCCGAACTCGTCAGTCCCAATTCTTTGCTGTTCTTGTCTCGGCGGTGACGGGAGTTTTCATGTACATAGCTACGTTCCTGTCCAGTGTAACGTTTCAAGCGTTTCAAGAAGGCCGGCTAAAATTGCCGTACCTTTCAGGATGGTTTACTGACTAGATTCGACTAGATTCGATGCAAAAGAACATGAATGATGAGTGGACCAGGTGCATCACTTTTGGCGCATCTTCCACAAACTGCGAACGTTGATTTTTTTGCCTGGGGAGTTCGTCTTAGAGAATGACATTTTTCTGTTGCTTTGATTGCTTTGGAATCAGGAACTGTTCCAGGCATGGTCCAAGAACACCATGTTCTGTGACTTGGCGATTCTTTGGCGATTCTTTCGTTTTCACCCGGCTGCGAGCAATTTCTCAAAGAACGCAGCAGCTTTGCAGGTATTATAAAACATTTTGGTTGAGACCTGGATGAATTCTACTTTCACGTGAACTCTGAACCAGTCAGGCTACAGACTGGCCGATCGCCTCACAAACGAAGCAACTCGTCCTGACACCATAGAGATGCCTAGAGGCATCTAGAGAATTCTAGAAACTATCAGATACTAGCAGAGATAATTAGAGAATGTGACTGTCAATGCAAAGAATGCTGTAATGTTTGCCTTCCATGCTCCAAACCTTGTGAACCCCCATCCTCAGCTTGCAAATGGTCTGAGGCATTGACTAAAATTGTGCAGAAAAATCTTCGAAGCCTCAATATGGAAGTGTCTAACCTGCACAAAATACAGAAGATACAGAACTGTCTGCACAAAATACAAAGATACATCGTTTCTAAATTTCATTCACCCAACTGTTGCTTCTTGAAATTGTGGAAAACGATGGAGACCCACCAAGAGCAGACATAGTGAAGCAGTTGGAAGTTTCGCGTTCTCAAGAGGCCAGACAAAGCTCGACGCATGAGAATCCGATCTTTTTGTGGTCCGTTGTCAATTTGCCAGGACAAAGAGTTGATTGTTCTCTACGGTGATATGGCTGCTTGGCAAAGAGCTTGGCAAAGAACCAGCTAAAGAGCTAAAGAGATTAAAGAGCTAGGATTTGTTCTGACCAAAGCACGAGTTGTTATGCAAAAAAGCATCTGAGAGGTATTATATACATGATTTCCATGTATTTCCATGTATTTGCAATCGATGTGAGAACCTTGCCACCGCCAAGTGCTCAGGAAAGTACTTGGCAGTCCGTTTGCCTTGTGCTGGGCGTGGACTCAGCCGACATGGTTACCGAAGCAGTTGCCATAAATCGACCTTTCTCCAGGTTGGACACGTCGAAATGTCAGGTGAGCAGTCAAAGTCACTTGTAGACGGCAAAGATGGCAAAGACAGAAAGCGTTGAATTATGTTGAAATATGTCGAAATGCTAGACTGAATAGATTTGAATTGTCTGCAGGTCGGTAGATGAGCAACTAGCACGACTACTCCTCTTTGGAGAAAAAAAAAATGAGCTTCACCCGAAGGACTGCGCGAAACGTGAAGTGAAAGCGTAGTCTTAGGGGGCAATCTGGATGAGATCGGGATGAGGGTATTGGAATGTATTGGCATACAATGCCAGGAGTGATGTGTGCTTTGTCGAAGGAGCAAATGCTTCTGCAAGGATGTCTTGCTGCCTTTGGTGAGGCAGCAGTCTATTTCGGTGGCCCACATGACCTCAACAATCCAGGTCTGGCCCGGTCCCCGAGGGCCCGAGGGTGACTTCGGTTGACGTCGATTGCCAAGTGCCTCCAAGCAATCAGAGCTTGTCCTTTTGATCTTCTGAAATTGCTGGAGCACGCATGATTCATCGCATGATTGACATTTTAGCCTTGTGTCTCCTGATGTCAGCCTGTCTCGTCAGCCTGATGTCTCGATGTCTCGTGTTTGCACTTGCGTAAGTGACGTAAGTTGCGTAAGTGGTCGGTGTGAAGGTCTCCTGGTACATGGCTTCTCCGACCTCATGGGGGCTGAAGAGATTGCGCCAGGGACTCGAATCTACAAAGGAGGCTGGGGAAAACCCAGTGCATGTTGAAGACACCCGCACCTAAGGCTATGGAGCATTTAAACTTTATAGGCACATGTATGATATGTATGTATATGTACGTATATGCATGTATGTATGTATATGTATGATATGTATGTATATGTATGATATGTATATATGTATATGTATGATATGTATTTATATGTATGATATGTATATATATATATGTTCGAAGGAAGTTTAGAAGTCAAACTTCCGACAATATGGACAAATGAAAAGCAGAGGTGGGAAGAGTCAGAGAAGAGAAGAGAAGAAGAAAGAAAATCAGAAAAGAGAAAGTCTCAGAAGAAAGAAGATCCAGGCGAAAAGGTAGATATATGTACATATATATATATACATATAAATATACATATACATATATGCGAATAGAGTGTAGGCTACGTACCATTGTACATTCACATATAATTCGACACTCTAGGATCCAATGCCAAAGGGGTATATCAAACTGGCCTCTTTGGCTCAAGACCCACTGCAGCACCAGAACAAAGAACTGCCATGCGGAAGCCGCCATCCGAGTGAAGTCATCACCGAAGCACTTACTTCAAAACCAAGTACCAGGACATAATCGGACAGGCAATCTCCGATTCGCAGGTTATCAGCCGTAGGACTCCTACGGAGCCTACGAGCGGGTAGCCGCGGGCCTTACAGATGACTGAACAGGATAGCAGCGATAATGCATTTTCTTCCTCTGGACATGCCGTTGCACCAGCTGCCGGCACGCAGTCAAATTCTTCACAGAGTATCGACACTGGTGGAAGCGATGCCTCAGAATTGAGAACAAGCCTACCCAGGCGACCTCTGGTTGCTCCTAGAGGGAGACAAATTTCGACAATGCAAGCAATTGAAGATAGGGACAGCACACCTGGAAAGAGAAGATCATCTGCACGACAATTGTCGCCTCCGATGACTCCAAGGACTAAGGCAAAGACTACGTCGTCGAATCCGCCTTCACCGATTCAGGACGCTACTCCATCAGGGACAGGATCTTATCAGCAAGTGAACGCCCCGTCAAGTGGTAGCGACATCTTCACTGCCTATCAGAGCGAATTAGCTGAATACAAAACATCACTGGAAAAGGCCACTGAAGAAGAATCCGTACTTCAGGCAAGATTGACCGAGACGACAGCATATGCCTATCAACAATTTAATTTCCTGGAAAGCACCACTCATCAAGAGATGATGTCGATGACCGAACAACTCCAGATGCTGAACTTCGAGTTACAGGCTGCACAACAAGAAGACGAAGGTGCGACCTACAGGATCGAAGAGTTGGAAAGGTATCAGACTATGTCGAATGAAGCTGCATCTCATTTGGAATTCAAATATTCACGACTACGTTCGGAATTCGATGAACAAATGGGACAAGCGAGCGCAATCATGGTACATGTGGGCGCTGATGCGAATGCTCACATCAATCAACTCAGACTGGAACTGGAAAACGCAGAGATGAATGCCAAGCAAGAAGCTCTAGCGGTCGGCTACGCTAATGACCAAACATGTGCTTTACAGATCGAGATGCTCGAGGTTGCCAATCAAAACCAGACAATGAAGCACACCATGGCCATGAACGTTAGACGACTGGAAACTGAGCTCGATGCTGCTGACATGAAGAGGGACGAGATCATGAAGGAGTTCCGTAGTAACATAAGATCTGAACATGACCGTTATGCAGAATGTGAACATCATTTAGCTTTGGAAGAATCACAACTTCGCTTGCAGATGATTCAAAATGAGAACCTACAATCTCGACTAGCGATTTCTGAGAACAGGGTTTCTGAAGAATCTCTAGCTGAATCAGGCGGCATGCGGGACATGAGGATAATGGGACTACGTTCTGAACTACACATGAGACAAAGTCTTTTAGATCGAATGCAACAACAACTGACTGAATCGAAGAATCAGTATCATGAACTTTCCTGTCAACAAGCCAGAAGATCTTCACCAAGCAGATCACCGCATGAAGGACCTCTATACGAGATGTATATGCAAGCCGTGCGTGAGCGTGACAGCTTGAAGGAATCCAAGGCTGAAGTTGACAAGTTGTACTTGCAGAACAGAACTGAACTCATTGACACTGAGGACCTGCTCAAAGTCTTCCAGCGAAACTTCGATGAAACTGGTAAGAAATATCAAGATGCTCTGAACAAGATCGATCACATGAGCAACAATCCGAATGTGACGAGTAACTTGTTCGACAGTTTGCACAATGAAATCAATGACAGGGACACGGCTATTGCTCGCCTTCATACTGAACTTGAAGCCCAAAAGGATTCTCTTGAGCGTGCTCACAGGGATGCAGGTAAGTCCATCAAGATGTTGAACGACAGAAGACTCGTGATCAAAGGTGCGACTGACTATTCCATTCCTGAAAGCCACTTGACTGAGATGCATCAATTGGCCAATGAGCGTTTCGCTGAGGTAGAAGAGATGTCGAGCACTATTGCTGCCCTGAAGTTGGAAAATCAAGCTCATTCTTCTTCATCAAAGAATAGACCGACTACATTACATGGGTACCCCAGTAATGCTATGCCTCGGAATGAATGTGAAGAGAAGTGTGCCAAACTGAAAGCAGAGTTGGACGAAAAGAAGCAGGAGAGGAACGCCGAAATTCGAAATCTTCAAGATGAGTTGAAGAAGATGGAAAATCGGAAAGATTATTACAAGAACAATTTCTCTCAAGCTGAAGATCGTGCCAATGATGAAGAGCAGGAATACCGAGCAGAAGCTGAAGCTTTCGAAAAGCTCAGGAACGAGTACAACACCAATGTCAAGGAGTTGGAGAACCTTGAAAGGGATAGATCCAAGTCATCCGTATCTCTAAGAGAAGCCGAAAAGATCAGCCTCCAACCCTGGCCTAAGACCACTGAACTTTCATCCTGGAAGGGAAGTGTCGTTCATGAAGTTTGTGTTGCAAGTGGAGATCGAAACTATGAAGATTGGAAAGCATGGCTAGCTCCGTGTCTTGCAGATCAACCTGACTTGGAAACTCTGGCCAAAGCACCCGATGTGAGATTCCAATCCATTGATGCCAAGCTCTCCAATGCCTTGAGGAAAGTCATTGACAATGCTGGGGACAAGTCCATGCAAGTGAAGTATGACATGTCCATGAAGAACCAATTGTATGGGAGAAGTGGGGACTTCATCAAGGGACGAGAACTATTTGCAATGATACTGATTAGCTTCAAATCACCTGACCACACCGAAGTTCTCTACAATGCCCATCATTTGTATATGTTCAACTACTATGGAGATGACCAACTTGAGGCCTTCTACAACAAGTGGCTTGACATCGTATACAATATGAAACATGATGATCTGCCTTCCAACAATTCCCTGCGTGACACACTGTTCCGGAAGATTGAACATTCAAAGCTTATGGCCTTCGATATCAACCGATACAAAACCTTTGATGAAGGGCATCCTGAGAAGACCTATGCTTACCTAACTGGTATGATCAAAGGATACATAGCACGTGGAAAGCAAGAACGACTGTTGAAGGATAGAGAACGTGCAGTGAAACTGTCATTGTCCTCTAACAAGACGACACCTGCCTTAGAAGATGCAGACATGCCTGCCGCTCCCGTCAAGACCAAGAAGGAGAATGAAGCAGCTGCATCGTCTACAGGTGATCCTCCCAAACGGCCTAAGGCGAAAGCGAAGAGTGAAGCTGCATCAGTACTTCCTACACCTTCTCCGAAATCTCATGCCGACAAGAACAACAAGAAAGGCAAAGGTGGGAAGGGAAGATCATCTTCACCCGTTGACAAGAAGAAGATTTTCTGTAACTACTTCTTCAATAAAGGAGGATGCAACAAAGGTGACAAATGTCTTTACAGTCATTCTCAGAAGGTCTATGATGCCAAGATGAAAGGTAAGAAAGGCAGAAGCGGAAGTCGAGATTCATCAAGAGGGAAAGGTAGAGGAAGTTCATCTTCAGCTGGACCCAAGAAGAAGATATGTTGGAATTGGCAAAAGGGTACCTGCACGTTCGGAAGCAAATGTAAATTCCTACATGCAGATCAATCGCCTTCAGCATCTTCAGAAAGAGCCAGCAAGAAGACACCAAAGAAGAAAGCAACTCCCATTACCATTGACTCCTTCTTTGATAGCGACAATGAAGATTCTATGGATTATACCTCACCGAGGATAGCCAGCGCAAAGAAGTCTTCTGATGATCGCAGGATCTCTTTTGAACTGGAACCTGAAGTGCACGAGATCGCTATTGAAAACTACCTGGAGGGATTACCCAAGCGTATGTATCGTGACCCCAACAAGCCGTATGTCTTCTGGAAGGTCGATGATCTGACCGACGATCAGTCCAAATCCGACAACGCCCTCGGTTCAATCCGGGCACGGGCCAAAGCTATCATCATGGACAGATGTGGACTCCATCGTTTTGTTGATGAAGTTAGAATCATTATTGGCCCCAAGTTCGACATGTTGATCAAACTGGACAATGATCGTGATGACTTGACTTTTATTGAGGAGCTTGTTGAGCACGAAATCGGAAACTCCCTCATGAAGTCCAAGAATATAATGTGCATTTCACTTCCAGTACAAGCCAAAGATCGCAGATTCATTCTGGATTCTGGTAGCGGACACGATCTGATTTCTGCAAGGAAAGCCGAAAGGATGAGCCTGAAGCAACGAACTTGTGATCCTATCATGTTCCACACCGCCAACGGTTCAACTGCTACTCAAACGGAAGCGGAGATTGACCTGGGAACCTTTGATGTGACCTCTCATGCTTATGTGCTGGACGACACTCCGTCCGTGATGTCTCTTGGGAAACGATGCATGGAAGAAGGATACTCCTTTGTATGGCCATCTGGTCAAATGCCTTTCATGATTACGAAGAATGGAGAACGCATCGATCTGACAATCCATGACAACATCCCCTACGTTGATCTTGGAACATACGAATGCACTCCTCATGAATGCCATCATGCATCAAAGATCCAT